CCGGTCTGTATGTGGGATCCGAACCCTCGGGCGGGAGCGCCGCCGCGCTTCCCAAGCGGCGCACTTATCCAGTGCGCCACCGGGCCGGCCCCTCATCTTTTTATTTTCTAACACAAGCATTTAAGATTATAAGTTCTCTCTACTGTTCTACATCTTACACATTTCTTATGTACTATTTTCAATATTTTTTTGTTCTTAGTACGTAATTTCCATTACGATTTCTTCATTGACTCGTGTGTTATTATGAGGTGTTTTAAAATACCTAGTTGGTTGATTTCTCTGCTTTTAGCATAGAATTTAATTGCATTATGGCTAGAAAATATGCTTTTATGGTACTCATTCTTTGAATGTTGTTCATTTGTTTTATGACCTAAGATACCATCAATTTTTGTAATTTTTCTATGTGTGCTCGATAATATCTTTATCTAGTTGTGGGGTATGGTTTCTCTAATTATTGGTCTCAGGGTCCAATAAATCAAGCTTCAAGCCGTAATTTTGCAACTTTATTTTTATTGAAGTTTTTCCCTTGATCTATCTGTAATAAAGAAATGTATTTTGAAATTTCTCATTATGATATTGGGTTTGTCCATTTCTCACTATAATTCTATCAATTTTTACTTTATTTTGAGGAAATGTATTAAGGTGGTAGAAATTTACAATTGTTTAGTCTTCCTGATGAATTTAATATTTTACATCATCTGCTGACTTTATCTCTAATAATGCCTTTTTTTCCTTAAAGTCTACTTTGCCTTATATTCAAACAGCTTTTTAGTATTTCCCTGTTATATGTTTCTCCATCCTTTTAATTTTCAACTTTTCTGAATCTATATTTGGAGCTCTAAATAGCATTTTATTGTATGCTTTAATCCCATCTGACAATCTCTGTCTTTTACCAAGCAGGATGAGTTCTGTCAACAGGAGTCTGTTCCCTTTGTTGCGTGCATGCGTGCGTGCATGTGTGTGTGTGTTATGGTTCTGCATGCTATTTAAGTATAAGAAAGCTATATCAGGTTTCAGGGAACAAGACAGTGGAGAGAACAAGTCATCCTGACTGGGAGCATTAATGCTACATTTTGTGCACCCGGCCACCTCTTGCAATCCCAGCTTCATTCTGGGCCTAAGGGACATGGGGAACACGACTGGGAACTCTTGTGCAGTGGGTGTTGGGGGGGGGGGGAGAAGGCCGCAAATTCTCAATCCATCCACCCTCCCATACTTTCCTGCTTAAATGGACTGTAGTGGAGTGTGTTTTGAGTGGTCACCTACCCTCATCCACGTCTTACCTCGATAGGCATGTGGTTCCCGACCTCCTAATTCTTGAGATTACAGAGACAGGTTGCACAGCAGCTACTGGCAACCGCAACTCAACATGAAGTAATTTCCATCTCTGGCGTTCCCAAAATACTCTACATCTCACAGCAAATGCCACCCACAGAGAAGAGTTCCTTGTTTTTAGAGTACATAACTTAAAAAGTTTTTCTAGTTTACATCTTTTGGTAGTAAATGCTTCCTAGTTTGTGTGTATCTGAAAATAGCTTTTTTTCCTTTTTGGCTTGAGTGAAGGTTTACTAGGTAAATAATTCTAGGTTGACAATTCTTTTCTTTCAGTACTGTTGAAAAGTTTGATGTCAGCCTAATTTGTTACTTCCTTTTAAAAAGTTTTTCCTTAACTTTTTATTTTTAAATTTTTATTGTTGACAAATCATAGTCTTTATAAATGGGTGATACCTTTTTTCTCTCAGGCTGTTTTTAAGATCATTTGTCTTTGGTGTTCTGCAGTTTCACTACAGTGAATGTTAGATGTTGGTTTCTTTGTATTTATCTAGCTTAGTATAGGTTGAACCATATAAAATTAACAATATCCAACCATTTTTGACCTACAGTTCCATATGGTTCAACCAAATACTCGTACATTGTGTTTCCTCTATCTGTGAATTTGTCATTTATAATTTCAGAAAATTATCAGCCAATATCTGTATGTGTTTTTATTCCTCTGTTGATTTTCTTCTTACCTTTTCAGAACCCCAAATAGATATTTTTAAAACTTAGCATTCTTTATTCTATATCTCTTAATCTCTCTTTCATATTTTCTATCTCCTTGTCTTTCTGGCTATATTCTGAATACTTTATTAAGATCTTTTTCTGGTGTATTCTCTTTACCTGTGACTAATCTGCAGTTTAACCCATTTCTATTTCAAATTCAATATATTTACTTTCATTTTTAGACATTTTGTCTGCCTTCCTTGTCATTGGTTTTTTCCTTTGCTTGTTCATTTGAAATTCCTTCTGTTTCCTTAAACATTTCACATATATAGATATTTTACATTCTCCTTCTGAT